ACGTACACGGCTATAATATCGGAATCAAATTGTCCAACGTTCACTTAACTTAATATACCTAGAATTTATTAGTTATATATTATAAGTTATCATGGAGTTTTTTATGTTACCGATGGACGGCGATGCAGGTACAAACAGTATTTTTGTTTAAAATAAACTTGTGAAAGTGTATGGTAAAACCTATTACGTATGGTGGTAGGGGAATGTTTGAGGTAGATCCTGAGCTCTGGTTTGTTGAATTCAACATAATAACTAAGTCACAAGTTGATTAGGGATGGCAAACGTTGGATTTCCAAATTTAGCCGTGCAATCTCGTTTGTTTTTATTCAATCCTGATCATAAAAACAATAACGTAATAACTGCGGCGGAGCGAAGGGCTATAGTACTAGAGCTAGGTTTTGGTCAGAGGAAACTCGTAGTCGTACTAAGTTAACGGCTACAGCATATCTGACTGTCAACGTCCATCACCGTACCTAACTAATATTAATAGTTACAGTACTAGTAGGCCTAATACTGCATAACGCTATTGCTCAGCATAGATACAATCAAGAGCTAATAATACCTAGAGTGTACCAACCACTCCTATACATGTAGATGCTCTAGGTGTGACGTGCTTAGCGTCACGTCCCGTTACCACCGCTTGCTGCATACAATAGTATCAAGAGCTAATAATACCTGGGGTATACAACGGAAAAACGGGAAAATAGTGCTATTTCACGGCAATATTATTCTACTTTGCCTGCGAGTCTAGAATAATTTTATGATATTGCATTAAGCTCAATTTTTTTCTCTCTAAAACAAGACCAATCGCTTGTCAATACGATACTCCTAGGCTGAGATATTGGCTCGTAAACTTCTCCTCCTACAGGCCTCACGGCGCCTCGCATTCACAATATTCACTATCCTTCTCGCGGTATTGACAAGCAGGCAAAGTAGAATAATATTGCCGTGAAATAGCACCATTTTCCCGTTTTTCCGTTGTATACCCCAGGTATTATTAGCTCTTGATACTATTGTATGCAGCAAGCGGTGGTAACGGGACGTGACGCTAAGCACGTCACACCTAGAGCATCTACATGTATAGGAGTGGTTG